CAAATGAGACTTGTAAAGAAAATACCCCCATGTGATGATCCTTACTTTGCAAAAATGCTGGAAAATTACCAGAATAGTCGAATGTGTCTATGGGTTTTTTAAAAAAAAATTAGCAAAATTTGGCAGGAGGGTTATACTCCTCAAACATGCTTTAAAGATTCTGATTGAGCTCTCAGATCAGGTCTTCAGAATTAATCAGTTGAAGTGTTTCTGAACAAAAAAAAAAGTAGATTTAAAAAAATGTTTTCAGTCGAGAGAGAGAATGATTTCTCATTCTGGTGTTTTGGGAGGAAGGTTGGCCATTCATGGTTGTTAAAAATAGAAATGCCAAGAATTGAGAATCCCAGAGACTGCTCTTGGGACTGTCTTTAGCTTTCGTGTGGATGCCCTCTCAGTATGTTACTGCAAAGCAGGGAACACATTGATTAACATCATGGGTTTTAGATTCGGACAAATCTAGTTTTATTTTACTCTGTGCGCCTTATTAACTAATGTGGCTTTTTAGCCAGTTGTTTCATCTATTCATGCCTTAGTTTTTTCAGTATGGGAATTTTCTGAAGATTAAATGAAGAAGATATTTCAGCTACTTAGCATATTGCTGGCACTTGACAAAGGACTTGTTCCATGAAACACCTATTAATGGCTATGATATGTAGGGATTGTCTCTGATTCTCTCAAGCTATGACACATTGGCAAAGAGAGACTTTTCCCTCAAAGTTGAGGAAGACAACAAAATCAGAGGATGGAGTTGTTCCAGTTGAGGAAAAATGGAAATAAAACCTAGAGACTTATTTTTTATCAATAAACATGACCTTGTAATTTAGAAACCCAGCTTACTACACTGGATAGTAAGCGGTAATTTGGGAGTAGACAGGTGTTCTGGGATAGTTATCTGTTGTCCTGAATTTTATGTGACAATTTTCATGTGATAAGTACATAGAACCAGAGGTTGGAAATACATTTACCTGTGACACTCCAGGTTCTGTGAGTTACTGCTTTCTGTCCATCTTAATTTTCTTACTGTGTGTTCTATGAAGATTGAGTCTGTTAAGTAATTGAAACTTTTGGAAGTTACTCTGAAAGTTAACTGGTGTGCTGTTTGTTTTTAAACCCTTCACTTCAATATGAGCAACACCTATTAAGAAACTCAAAAATTGTAGTGTGGCATTTATTTTAGTGCAGACGCTTTAGTGTTATATCCAAACCGCCTTTTCCTACTAAGTAGCTCTTTCTCTTTAAGTGATTTAACATCTCCGAGCCTTTGTTGACTCGTACTAAAATACGACTGATTTTTCCAATCACACATTTCTTTTAGTAAAATAGTCAAAGCTTGTATATTTTCTGCATGAAAGAAGTGAGTCCGTATATATGTTATCAGAACTGTCTTAAACCCAAGGAAAGAAATATTCTGCTTCCGTCTGAATTGATAGCATTAGTTTGCCGTTCATTTCCCCAGCATATCATGGACCCCAAAGCCTGGAGAGACCACAAAAGTGAATACACACAATCATTTCAGTGATTTGTCTATAAAACTATAACATGGCCTTGCCTTGTATAGAAACATTCATTTTTCAAGGGAATTTGCAGATTATTTTTTTGATTTGTTTTTGTCTGTGGGCCACACCAGGCTGTACTCAAGGCTTAATCCTGGATCTGTACTAAGGGATCATTTCTGGCATTCTTGGGATACTATATTGGCCCTAGGGATTGAACCTGAGTCGGCCATATGCAGTACAAGTACTATACCCATTGTACTTTCTCTCTGTCCTGGGAATCTGAAAATTCTTAGTGGAATGTCATCTAATTATAAAGTGTTGGCAATTAATAATTTAAAATTCTGTTCACTCTGACTGAAAACCAATTGCTAGCTTAACATTGTCTATTGGTGAGCAGTTCCCAAATCTATGCTTTTAAATCTTTCTTTAGTGAGACCCTCTTCAGATCTTTACTAAGAGTTGTTAGGAATTGCTTTAAAAGTGTATTTAGTTTTTATGGGGGCAGGAGATATAGTACAATGGGGAGGGGATGTACCTTGCACGTGGCTTTCTTGCTTTCAATCCCTGGCACCGCATATGGTTTCCCAAGCCCATCCAAGTGAAATAAGCCCTAAACCCTCGCCCATTTTGTTTTTAAATAAATGGTATTCTGTCTACATTTTAGTATATCTTTATTTACAGAAGTAGATGGCAAAGTATGAGTCATCAGATACCAAAAAAAAAAAAGGATATGAGGACTGGTCTGTAATATACTCTATGGACATGAAACAGTGTCAGTGTTTCTCTTTAATTTTAATGAGAGCCTTTGATGAAGTTCTCAGCTTGCACTGTGAAAAACGTTTTGATTTCAATTCTAAGAAACTCATCCACCTTTGGCTGAGCAGCTTAAGCAAGAAGCCATATATGGCACCCCTCTATTATTCATCTGTACACTAATCAACAAAGGCTAACTGCCGTATTGGAGGTAGAAAGTCTAAGGAAACCTCACTAATGAAGATACTGTTTCTGTTACCTATGCTGAGGCATCACTGCACTCCCACTAATAGCTTCTCTGGTGTAGCACAAATGTCACCGATAATCTATAACTATACAGTGAGTCAAAGGACACCGGCTTTGCTGTTGGTGTATGTGTGTTTAGGGTATTTTGACTTATCTGCAAGAGAAAAAATGGAGAGAGGCATAGCTAATGTTTCCTCATCCACAAAATTTGAGAACCGTTCAACACCAGCAAGCTTAATTAGACAAGTTTTCTATAATGAGTATTGCTATTCTCAAATATATTTCAGGCATACCTAAAAACAGTATCTCAGTTTTAGTCCAAAGTGGTGTGCATGTGTAGAGTCTGTATGTTAGAGATCGGTGCTAGGTTTTGGATTTCTTTTTTTTAAATTTTAATTGAGCCACTCTTTGGGAGCTTTTACATAGAAATGTGGGTTTTCTGTTCTAGAAAACGGGAATAACTGGCTGCTATAGATTAGTTTTCTTCAAATTCACCATTTCCTGGAGTGGAACACTAACTGACCCTACCCACAGTCATCACCACTTTCCTTTTATTTTTGAAGTCCCTAGTTTTACATAACGTATTGTACCAGAAGTTTCTCATCCGCAGATGGAAATTAAATCATACCAATTACATTCTGTTGTTGCATGGATTAATTTATGAATTAACATTTTGAAAATTATCATCATGCTAAACACCCAACCAGTACTCTTTGTTACTGCTATATTGTTTGTATGTGCTAAGGTTTATTCTGTTGCTTTAGAGTTTTGACTGACATTAGAATAAGAATACTCAGGAATGTCAGTATCAAGGTCTTGAGAGAAAAAGAGTACAGATTCATTGTGAAAAAAGACCTGTCCCATCTACTCCTATCATCTTCAGTAAATCATCACTTCCCACCCTTTTGGCTAAGATCAAGTGTAATATCTGTTCATCTTGCGCAAGTCTTTTAATCTCTTAGGCTTTCGTTTTCTCATTTATGAAATGAGAAGAGTAAATTAGATGTCTCCACTGATCCATTTCTCAAATTGAATGAGACGATATAAAAGGTTTTGGGTGGGAAATAGAAGAGGTCATGCTGTCACAAAAAGATTCTGAGAAGGGTTAATTTTCTACTTGAAAGAACTGAATACTCTTTAAGAATTTTCTCCGGGAAAAGTAATGCTCACCATACTGGTTCCAATTTTAAACCATATTGCAGTGTTTTTCTCAATTAAATATTATTCCTCCTTCCCCAGAAGAGGAAATCAGAATTCTCGTCCTTGCTTCAAAGCAAAGAAGTTAATATACGTTGTATTGACTGTATCAGTAGCAAAAATAGTATGTCAGGGCTTTGAGTTCTTAGAAGCCACTTCCTTGTTAGAATATACACTGCAAAGTTTGATCTTGTGTTGGTAGAAGAGAGCTTAAATGTGCCATATTAAATTGTGAACAAGAGAATCAGATTTCATGTCTTTGTTAAAAAGTTATATAATAGTGACCGTTCCCATCTTTTTAAAATCTTAAGCATTATTATTTTTACCTATATTTCTGTAACAATGTAATGATTTTACTATCACATATTATCATGGGAAGAGAAAAATAACTGAGCCCGATCATTAGACTAAGTTTTGAAGGGTATATCAGTTACCCTCCAATATCCATTAGGACTTAAATACACTTTTTAAAATGTCATTGAATAGAAAATTAGAAAGTCGGAAAGGACCATGGAAATACTTTTGCATCCCTCTAGTGGCATTCTGCTGTGATTAAAAGGTATCTAGAAAATACTGCTTGAAATTTATATCCTGGCAAGGTTTGTATTCTGAGAACTGAATATTTTGACATAATTTTGTAAATGTGGTGAAACTGTCTATAATTGATGAGTGCTAAGAAAGGTAGATTTCAGTGAAGTTCAACCTTCACAGCCTCAAGATAAGAATTCTAGAACCATGGGAATCGAAATGTAGTTCAAAGGTTATGTTCATGGGGCTGGAGAGATAGCACAGTGGGTAGGGCGTTTGCCCTGCACGCGGCCGACCCGGGTTTGATTCCCAGCATCCCATATGGTCCCCTGAGCACCGCTCAGAGTAACTCCTGAGTGCAGAGCCAGGAGTAACCCCTGTGCATCGCCAGGTGTGTCCCAAAAGGAAAAAGAAAAAAAACAAAGGTTATGTTCACTTGCTTTGTGTGCCAGAGTTCTAGGTTCAGTTTACAGGCACCATGTGATCCCTAAAGTGGTTCCTGAGCATCAGTCGGTTTGGCAGAAAAACAGGAAGGAAGGGGAAAAAGAGAGGGAGAAGGAGAGGAAAGACTTACTCCTAGTTGTGATTTAAGGAAATACTGCTAAGTAATTTTCAGTAATTCTTTTAGAAACACGCACAGACTATTGTGACAGTAAGCTCGGTTAAGAGTTACTCTTTGAGTTGAAAGTTAGTCTATATATGGGTTATTAAGAACAAATGATGCATCTGGTGATGCAAGGGGAATATTTAAGACTTAATTTCTATTTTAATGTATTTCAGAGACCATCATGCAAACATCAGAGACTGGGTCGGACACAGGTTCGACAGTGACTTTACAAACATCTGTGGCTAGTCAAGCAGCAGTGCCGACCCAGGTGGTCCAGCAAGTACCAGTACAACAACAGGTAAGAAACTGCTTCTCTCAGAGAAGGTACCGTGACATCTGTCTAACTGAATTTCTAATAGAGCTGTGTCCAGAGATGATTTGGGTGATTTTTTTTTCTGGACCAATGAGTAGGTACTAAGACAGATTTAGTTTAGTTTAGTTTTTTAATGAACTCGGTGATTCTTATGCATCTCATTGATGTACTAGGGTTGTGTGTGTGTGTGTGTGTGTGTGTGTGTGTGTGTGTGTGTGTGTGTTAAGCTCTAGAAATAGAAGATGAGTGTTTAAGAAGAGTATTTGTTTCTGATCAACCATCCTAAATAGGTTTTTTCTTCTTACTACAACTCCCATTCTTTATCAGAACATTTCCTCAACATTAAAATGCCAGCAATCATATTTTCATATCCTCATGGTACTGTTTGACAGTTGCATCCTATTTGGATTTGTGTTCTGAGATTGAGTATTATGACAATCTTGGACTATAGTTTGTAATTTTCATGGCTCATGGAAGTACTTCCTGATGAAGAATAATGCACATACAGTATAGATAGGAATTTTTGCCTTTGAATTATCATAAAATGTGCCTGGTGGACATTATGGTGACTGATAACAGTTTTGTTTGTTTGTTGGGGAGCCATACCTGGATGATGTGGTCAGGGCTTACTCCTTGCTCTTCACTCAGGGATTACTCTTGATAGGCTCTGGGGACCAAATGGGATGCTGGGTACTTAACCCAGGTCAGCTATGTGTAAGATAAGTATCCTACCCACTGTATTAACGCTCCAGCCCCAGATGATTAGTGCAGTTTAATGAAAACGAAGTTTTCTTAAAAGTCTGGAGATCTGACTCATCTTTCCAAGAAAACTGAGAATGAATTTATCATCACATATTTACTACAGGGGCTTATTCATAAAACACTTGGCTTGTTTTGGAAGGATCCTGATAAAATTATGCTATTCATGCCAATTATAGTTCTACATGTGGATTGTGAACACATTGGCCTATAATTTTTCTTCTAAATGGCAAGAAAATGAGTGAGAAGGATCATGTCATAAAGCAGTTATCTTTAGGTGTGAGATTTGCCTGTAATTTCCCAGTATCAAGAAAAAAATCAGTAGCAAATATTGCTCTTGAAATTATAAATAAGTAATTAAGAAAAACAAAGAAACTCAGAAGAGAAAAGTAGAATAGGAGGAGAATATGCTAAGATTTCAGAAAAGGATTTTTAGTCTCTGTAAGTAAATATATCAAAAAATTGGTTCATAGTTACGTTTTGAACTTTTCTTGATTTTGACGTATGCGCACACACACACACACACACACACACACACACACACACACACACACACAGCTTCTCCTTGCCATCCCATACTTGTGGTTTATTATGTTAAATTACATGGAATTGTGATCTATAGCAATTTTAAGCTTTTATCTCCTAGTCACATTTTTTTTTTCTTGGTGTTCTAGGGCCACACCCTGTGGTGTGAAGGGCTTACTTCTGTTTCCGATCTCTGTGTTCAGTCCTGGTGGGGCTCGGGGGATCATACGCAATGCCAAGGCTTAAAAAAAGACCCAAACTGAAGATATTTAGAATGACATATTTTCAGTTTTCTAAAATTTCATGATGACTTATCTTGATAGGTGCGTGTTTCATATTTTGTGCTGGAAACTTGAGGCCCTTTTCATTCTGAACATTCAATTCTAGAAAACCTTTAGTTTTTAGGTTTTTTTTAGTTTTCATTTTTGATTGTCTCCACTTTTATTTTTCTCTTTTTCACTTTTTTGACTCTTTTGTTCTGAGGCGAAATTCATGTTTCAGTGGTAATATTTTTCATTTCTGTTTTAAGAGTTTTTAAAAATTGCCTACATATTTCCTTTTGCTTCCTGATTTTACTCCTGATCATATAAATTCCCAATTATATCTCTCTAAAGATATTAATTTGGTTTAAGTTGTTGAAATTTTCTGATCTTTGGATAAGGTGACCTTTTAGGCTGCTTTGTATTCTTTTTTCTCTTTTATTTAGAAGATTTTCTCAGATGTTCAAGTGTTTACCTATATTTTGAAACAGGGAAGTAAGGTCAGGTGTGTTGATAAGCAGTAAAGCACAGTCTTGCACATATATGAGGTCTTAGATCAGTTCCTGGTCCTGCAGTGGCCCAGTGGCCATGAGTACTGCCTGGTGTGATCCTTGTCACATGTACAAAAAGGCTAGAGCAATAGCACAGTGGGTAGGGCCTTTGCCTTGCACGCGCCGACCCGGGTTCAATTCCTCCGCCCCTCTCGGAGAGCCCGGCAAGCTACCAAGAGTATCTCGTCCACACAGCAGAACTGGCAAGCTACCCGTGAAGTGTTCGATATGCCAAAAACAGTAACAACAAGTCTCACAATTTGTTGTGCGACGTTACTGGTGCCCACTCGAGCAAATCGATGAACAACGGGAGGACAGTGCTACAGTGCTACAGCAATAAAAAACTGATTTGAATGTCTGAGTGGACCTTGTTCACTTTTATAAGTGCCATATAGACTGTTAAATTGAGCACCCTCTGATACTCAGTATTTATATTTTCCTTCATGGACTGATCATTTTTTAAAACCATTTTTGTTTAATTACTGATATTTACGTTACAGCTACTCATACTTCTTATAGGTAGATCATTCTGACACCACGGCCACCAACAGAGAGAACCCCCTCCACTAGTATACCAAGGATGCCTCTCCCCCACTCCCCCATGTAAGCTCAGTGCTGCTGACCAAAGTCTTCAGTTTCAATGACTGAGCATTTGCTGTTCCTTTAACCAAGATTCTTTTTAATCTCATATCTGGGATAGATGTCTCTCTTTCTCTCTTTTTCTCTCTCAGTTGTGAGGTAGTGGCATCTACACACGTAGGTAAATAGAGCTAAACTCTTAGAATTCCCCAATATTGTAAGTCAGTGATAAGTTGAGAAAGGAATTTTTTTCAAAACTTGTATCTTCTTTAGAGGTGTATTTGCTTGAGCGGGCCCAGTAACGTCTCCATTGGAGACTTTGTTGTTACTGAGTCTGGCATATCAAATACTCTCGGTAGCTTGCCGGGCTCTCCGAGAAGGGCGGAGGAATCAATCTCGGGTTGGCCATGTTGGCTGCGTGCAAGGCAAACGCCCTACCGCTGTGCTATCAGGATTTTTTTTTAGAGGTGTATAAGTTTAAAAATTAATATTATGAATAATTTAATGCTGATTAAGATGTAGTGCATTTTAAGAGTCACATTAAATAGATAAATCCTACAAATGTAAAATTTTGTAAGAGTGAAGAAGTTAAGAAAAATTTAAGGGGAGAATCTGAATAGCCCTACAGTAGATGTATAAAAGTGTGTTTTATCCTAAGAAAGGGATATTGACTTTGTGTTAGAAAATATTGTATTATAGATATGCTTAAATGTCTGCATTAATAAGAATTATAATAGGAGTATCTATTGATATAAAAAGCACCTGATCAGATATATAACTGTAGCACTGTAGCACTGTCCTCCCATTGTTCATCGATTTGCTTGAGCGGGCCCATTGCGAGACTTGTTGTTACTGTGTTTGGCATATCGAATACATCACGGTTAGCTTGCCAGGCTTTGCCGTGCGGGCGAGATACTCTCGGTAGCTTGCCGGGCTCTCCGAGAGGGGTGGAGGAATCAAATTCGGGTCGGCCGTGTGGCCTGCGTGCAAGGCCCTGTCTGCTGTGCTATCGCTCCAGCCCCAGATATATAATATTCAATATAAATGAAATGTTGATTCATTATTGTGCTAATAATTATTCATTATTAGCAGGATAGGAGTAAATAACCTTTCTTAATCTAGAAGAGGGCAACAATTAGCGCCAGGAGTGAATGCCATACTCAATACCTAGTGCTTAGGAAATTGTCTTTCCTTTTAAAGAAGCTTCTTTAATGCTTTTTGCAAGCCTGGTTTTAAGGTATGAATTCCCTAAACTGTTACCTGTCCCAGAAGCTCTTTATCACTCAAATCTGAATTTTAATCTAGCTGGATAGAGTATTCTTGGTGTTCAGATCATTACATTTTTATACTATGTCTCTCTACTCTTTTCTGGCTCATAAGGTGTCATTTGATAGAACTGCTGTGAATTTTATGGGTTTTCCTTTTCTAATGTAAGTTCCTTTTTTGATCTTACTGATTTCAATATTCTGTATCTATCTGTGGGTTTTGTCATTTTGAATACAATGTGCCTGGGCAAGTCTATTTTCGCTGGTACCCGTTAGGCCTCTTGAATCTGGGTACCTGTATCCTTCTAATATGGGAAATTTTTATCTCTGATTTCTTTAACGATTGTATCTATATAAAATTTGCCTTCCTGTTCTTCAGAACTCCAGTGATTCTAATATTGTTCCTTCTGAACTCATCCCCTATTTCTAGGTATGCTAATCATTTCATTTCAGGTTATTTTCCACTTTTAGTTGTTTTCTGTTTCCACTATATTTTCTTGGGGTTCCTTGATTTTTTTCTTTAGCTGCTGTCAACTTGCTGCTCATGACTTCCATTTTTTTTTTCTTTCAAGTACGATACTCTAAGGGCTGGAGCGATCGCACAGCGGTAGGGCGTTTGCCTTGCACGCAGCCAACATGGCCAACCCGAGTTCGATTCCTCCGCCCCTCTCCGAGAGCCCAAGAAGCTACCGAGAGTATCTCGCCCGCACGAGATATGCCAAACACAGTAACAACAAAGTCTCCAATGGAGACGTTACTGGGCCCGCTCGAGCAAATCGACGATCAACGGGAGGGCCTTTACCTTTACCTTTATGATACTCTATATATCATTTCTGCCTGTAGTTTTTTCATTACTCCGTACTTTCTTGTGCTTTGCTGACTACCTGTGCCATCATTCCTTTGAGTTCACCAAACATCCCCACAATGGTGTAACTAAAGTCAACGTCTGCAGATTGACTGAGCCGGTTGGTGCTGGTTGACCCATCTGTATTAGTCACCATTTTCTGAGTTGGTGGTCTCCTACGCATCTTCCCCTTTGGGTTTGC